TGCAGAAGATACCAAGATAGGAATTTATGAGCTAAGGAGAGGACAGTTTCAGATCAAGTTATCAAACTATGGTGCTACAATTATGTCTTTAATTGTCCCTGATAAAAATGGTTTGTCTCTCACAATATTAACTTTTCATATGTTTTTTTTATGATTGAGATTATTGTTTTTTTTTTTTGTTCGTGTTCGTGTTCGTGTAATTTGTTGTGCCCTTCAAATTAATTTATGGTTTCTGTTGTGTCTGTTTGTTTCTCCAGGGAAATTGGCTGATATTGTCCTTGGCTATGATTCAGTTGACTCTTACAAGGTATGATAGACATAAAAGAAAAAAATTTGATTTAGTTTTGTTTCTGAAACATAAATAATATAATATATATATATATATATATTATATTCATATTAATGGTGGGTTTTTTTCAGAACATTTTGGGAGAAGTTTCAAATTGAGATTCAGAAAGATGATGATTTCGTTGAATATGTTCATATCAAAACGTTCAATGATTTTTTTCCCATCAATTAGAAAATAATATTCTTTTAATGAAAGAAAATTTGAATCACTTTTGCTTATTTTATATATATATATATATATATATATATAATAGATTCATCGTAAACTGGTTAATGGAAGGGTTGTTGAAGAATATTTTGGGAATTTCTGGATTGAGATCCAGAAAGATGATGGTTTTTCACAGTGTTCACTGAGAATTTTTTTTTGGCTAAAATATATTTTCAATTCTCTAACTTTATGTAAGGTTTTAATTTAGTTCTTTATTTTTATAAAATATTTACTAATCCTTTAACTCTAACACTATTAGTTTTAGATGATTATTTTTTCATGCCAACTATTACTATTCTAAAAAATTAAACTTAGTATGTTAATATTTGATAATGTTCTGTCATTATTAAAGTTAAAGGACTTCAAATATATTTTATAAAATTAAAGGACTAAAATAAAATATTGTATAAAATTAAAAGATTACAAGTATATTTTAACTTTTTTTAATAGAAGGACAATTAAGATCCAGGAGAGGAAATTAATTACAATTAGGTACTTTTAAAAAAATAAGTTGCAAATGATGACTTAAATAAATAACTGTTAATTATTTTTTGATTAAAAACTCAAATAATTGTTAATTCATGATTTCTAATTATAAACAAGAGATTTAAATTCTAAATGTAAATGTCAATTTACAAAAAAATTTGTTGAAGATATAATTGTCATTAATCTCCTCTTTTGGAGCTTTAATGTCACTCTCCCTCATTTTTCTCCACCAATTAGAAAATAATAATAATTTTGGGTAAAAAATGAATAGACTACATACATACATACATATAAAAATGTTTCTTAATTACTCCCTCCCTTTTTAAATATAAAAATTTTAATCATCTCATACACTTTAAGAAAATTGATTAATTCTAATAATTATATATGAAATAAAAAAGTATGAATTAAAATGTTCTTGTAATCAATGTTTAATTTTCTCTAATTTAATATTACTATTTATTTATGAGTAGAAATTTCAAAAAATAATAAATACTTCTTGAAATTGATAGTTTTATTTATAAAAAAAAAAGCAATGAATCATATGATTTTTTTTATTTTACAATAAAAAACATACTCAGTATAATGAAGATAGGAATGATACCAATATTATTTCAATTTAATAAATCAAAATAATTTGGCAATTAATTAAAGATCGAGTATCTATTTATTTAATTGAATTAACAATTAATTGGAATGTTGCAGAATGATACAGTATACTTTGGTGCCCTAGTTGGACGTGTGGCAAACAGAATAGGAGGAGCTCACTTCACTTTAGATGGCAAAACCTACCACTTGCCTGCTAATGATGGCAATAACACCCTCCATGGTACATGCTAATGTTAACCCTTTAATCATCATCATTATCATTGTAATCAAAATAAATATAAATAAAGCATATAGTTCGAGTTGGCTAGGTTTATTCGGGTTGTTTAGATAACTTTTTAATGTCATCATCTTAACAATTAATCAACTTCTTCAATATTAATTGTTCACTTGTTCATATACATCAATAGGTGGGTTCAAAGGCTTTGGAGATGTTGTATGGAATGTAGCTTCCTACAAAATGGACAGTCACATCACATTTACTTATGTTAGTTCTGACCAACAACAAGGTACCAATTAAATTTCTTTGCTCGTATGACACAAAATATTGAAGAAAAAAAATGACAGTTAAATTTTAAAAGTGAAAATTAATGAAAAATTAGCTCATCAATAATTTTTCTAAAAAAATAATATGCAACAATTTAAATAATTTTATATTCAAGGGTTTTAATTATAAATAAGGCATTTAAATTCTATATGTAACTCTTAGTTTGGAATTGAAATTATTATTTATAACTGTTTGAATTAATATTTATAACTCATTTTTTAAAAAATTTTATTAGGACTTGGAAAATTTTGTCAAGGACTTAGCTGTCCCTAACTCTCTTTTTGAAACTTTATTATTATTCTCTCAATATTATTCAAGTATCTAATTACTTCTATTTTATGTTTTGATTTCAACATTAACTTGTTTTTTTTTTTTCCTGGAAAATTTTCTAGGGTTTCCTGGAAAACTTGAGGCTGCTGTGACATACATGTTCTATCAAACAAACAAGTTGATAGTGAAGATGGAAGCCAAGCCATTTGACAAAGCCACACCAGTGAATCTAGCTCAGCACACTTACTGGAACTTAAGGGGCCATGACAGTGGAGACATTCTCTCCCACAACATCCAACTTTTCGCCTCTCAAATTACGCCGGTGAATGGCGAACTCATCCCGACCGGCGAGATCAAGCCGGTGAAAGGAACCCCATATGACTTCCTTGAGCCAAAAGAAATTGGAAGCCAAATTCATGGCCTTCCTGATGGCTATGACATAAACTATGTGGTGGACAAGAACACTGTCTCAAGTCACTTCAATAAAGTTGCTGTGGTTAAAGACTCAGTTTCTGGGAGGAAAATGGAATTATGGTCAAATCAACCTGGTGTTCAATTCTATACAAGTAACATGTTGAAGGATGTGAAAGGCAAAAATGGTGTCACATATCATCAATATGCTGCCCTTTGCTTGGAGACACAAGGGTTTCCAGATTCAGTGAATCATCCTAATTTTCCTTCACAGATTGTTAACCCTGGACAGATTTATAAGCACTTCATGGTTTATAGGTTCACTGCTCAGTAAATAATACATAGGGAAAATCACTCACAAGGACCAATGAATAATGTTAATTACACACAAGTGCTAATAAGAAATTGATTATTATTAAGATGGGAACAAAGACTTTTATTTTCCTAAACGATGACTTGTTATTAGTTCTTGTTTATAAATAACATATTTCAGCGATCCTTGTGCGATTCTCCCTAATATATGTGAGAGAGAGAGAGAGAGAGAGAGAGAGAGAGAGAGAGAGAGTGTGTGTGTGTGTGTGTGTGTGTGTGTGAGAAGAACATCAATTATGCTTAACCTGTCATGAATATGTATGTTGGGATTGTTAGCTTCGTGATGGGTTATGAAACTATTGTGTCTAAGTTTCTTCCATTGAAATTGACTTCAAATTGATATACGAGCAACTTTTTGTGTTCTTGAAATTTATATCACATAAATTTATCAGTAGATTCAAATGACTCTGTAATCGTGTGTAGTTAAAAATTAGTAAATTTCAATTTTAAGAGAAGACTTGTTAGTAAATTAAGTATTTACAAATTAGTTAGTCTTAATCAATTAAAGTAAAGTAAGAGTAGCTTTGTCTCAAAGGTCATGATGGAATTGGATTCCAGTCTAATCATCAAAATTGGATTCCTTGACAATCACAATTCTTGTTCAACAAAACATATTTAAATTTGGGTTCCTTTTCTCAATCCATTTTCACTTTACCAATTTAATGATACCAAATGCGATCTAAGGGACTCTCAAACTATTACAAATTACAATGTGTTCTACAAGGAGTATAAATCAAGTTGTATTGTTTTACTATGATATGAACTGAAAACACTAAAAAAATTATAAGAATTTAAAGCAAAACTTGATGAAATTTTAAGAATTGATGATTGTGCTTTTTATTTTTTAAAAACTGAATATTCCAACCTCTATCAATTTGATCCAAAAATATAACAACTCATCCACAAATGAAAGTGAAACAATATTAAAACAAATATAAAAGAAGTTTACCGAGCGAAGTCAAAGTTAATTGGAAAGCATCACATGCTTTTAATTCAATCTGATTCAACTCCATTCCCTACTTTCAATTCTTTTGAGAATCTTCAAGAGAATTTTTTCACTATACCAAGTCTCTAACAAACAATAGATACAGCATTCTTAATATCTCAATAAATTATAATACTGCATGATTAAAAAAACGTGCACCCTCTTATAGTCACCTGCTCCTTTTGTTAAAAAATAAAAATAAAAGGCCCTAATCGACTTGGGCTGAAGCAATCCAATTTTGCAGTCATAAGAACTGCCAGGGAACAGGGAATGACGAAATTATGCAATATTTTAAACGCGCACAGCTTTGCAATAAATGATTTGCATTAAACAAGTGTGTACATATAATTTTTGATTTTTTTGGGTAAAAACTTTGATAAAAAAAGGCACATCCTAATTCATCCAATAATATAACAAGCATATCAACGATTAGTTGTTTTAATAACAATGTCACATCCTTGAGGCCCTGAATTTCAACATGACATTAACAAATTTGTATACCTGCATGAATGTGTGAATCTCCCATTTCTATATGGAAGGGTTAAATTATGGGTAGTTGGAACAAAGGAACCACATATCAATTCCTAAAATTTGAAACAATTGCCCCTTTCAATGGACGCATGAAAGATCACTTCAAGTAATGAATATTAATTGGATAAATTAAAAAAAATATCAAAAAACAATATAACAACCTTATGTTTGGTGCTTTTTGAGATTTTATTAGAATGCAAAAAAAAAAAAAAAAACCACACACACACACACACACACACACAAAATATTTGTTTTAAATTAGAAAAGCCACAATGGCTTTTACCAGCATCTATCCTCTTCCGACGTTCTTTTTAAAAGCATGAAATGGAACGAGGCACAATTAAAAAAAAAAAAAAGATATACTTTCTTTTATTTTAACATCATGAACAAAATTTCACTACATAGGTCTAAAACTTAATGCAAGGGACACAGAAATCAAGTGTGGCTCCCAAATTGTTTCTGAATGTCCTGGAATGATATGGTAGCAGATCCTCTGCTTTTAGCCTTCTGCTGAGAAGGATGTTCCCTCCAACCAGTCATGTATATAACCTAATCACAAAGCACCATAACACAGTCACCATCAACGTAGATCCTCAGAAAGCTACAAATTTCTACTTCCTTCCCACAGCCAAGGAAAAAAAAGGGGGAAAAAATTCTCTGTCTACTTCAATGCTGTAACCCTAGTCCTAGCACATTAAAATGAAGGGAACATGACACTAAAGTTCCCCAAAAAAGGAACTTATGACAGTTAGGTTTTCGGCAAAATTTTGCATCTACACAATTCACATCACAAAATAAAGCCACAAACCATATACTCTCAAAAGTGATAAGAATTCAATAAAAAATGGCTGAAGATATAAAAATTCCCAAGTTGACAAGTGAAGGCACAGAACCAGGAAGGCATGGGTTCACATTGTCAAATCATATAATTGAATACCAAAAAAAAAATTACAAAAACTATGAAGACAGATCCAATCTGAATACAATGAGATATGAGAAGCCCAAGAATTTGAGTCAAAATATTTTGTCTTTGCTTACCTGGAAGGTTGCAGGAACTGAGCCATCTTCCGCACCAAACATTGAATCATAAATAGCTGCAGTTGCCAAGGCTGTGTCCCTCCTTAGGATCTGTTTCATTATGTGCAACCTTTTTTCAAGATGTTACCCAATAGCCTCTGATGTAGAAAACTGGATGAAAGAAGCATTTCTGATGCCCTAATTGGTGCACAATATAGAACTGGACATAATAGTATAAGTAGCATTGAATAGTAACACAAACTATTCACTACAAGCCCGTTGTATGCCCTAATTGGTTCTAATAGTAGTAATGGTGGCAGCATTGTTGGTGGTGACAACAGTAACAGAGTGAGTGGTAGCATGGGAACTAGGGAAGTGACAGTTCTGGCAAGGGTGTTGATACGACAACTAATAAGTATTTTAAAGGGGGGGTGGAGGGGGCAGAATTAATTAAAATTTTCCCTTCCCTCCCATCTATGATTGCCAAACAAGGAGAGAGGAGCCCCTCTCTATATTCCCATCCGAACAGGGGCCCTTGCCTCCCCTCCAACCAAATAAAGCCTAAGTGAGATGGGGAATTCTACCCCAAAAACTAGTCGTTGAGGTGGCAAAACCAACCTACTTATATACCTCATTGAGTATCTCTTACTATTTAATGTGAGGCTTGGTATCCCATATTACCAAGTATCCATCAATTAATAGGTGCCCAAGTGGGATGGAAAACCTTACTCCAATAGGTAGCTATTATGGTAGGAAAATCAACCCACTTAAATAAGTCACTGAACACCCCGTGCTACTCAATGTGGGATTTGGTATCCCATACTACCAAGTCTCCATCAAATAATCTTTATTCATGAGAATAAAAATAATTTTTGTTATTAAAAAAAATTGCCATATTTCATATCCTGGCGTGCTCCTTCTCTCTTTTTTGGCTCCTTCTCTCTTGGGTGCATTGTATTATATGGGGATAATATAAATAGCTCTAACCATACAAGTTTATACAATTATTTACATGCACCAAATCCTATATCGACCTGGCATGTATTTGCCGTTACTATATCTCATGCAGACTCCTACGGTGCACCAAATAGGGCCTTAAACTCATACTGTGTAAAGGTGAAAGGGGAAAAGAAGTTTACAGTGTTCCTCTGAAGAAGAGCATTCGTTTCACCCATGGCACGCAGATGTTCTATAAGCTCAAGAGCTGCACCAGAGAAACAACCACAAAACAGAGACTGAGTATCGACATTCAAGAAAGGCAATCGTAAGATACACCAGTAGTGCTGACACTCAGATATAAACCATTCATGAGGCATAAAGATGATTAAATCAAAATATCAAATGAGATATTATTACTTCTGGTTTAGTATTGTTCTCACAAACTCCGCCTATGTTTATAGCCGGTCCCAAGCCCGGGTAAAGGAGGAGGGTTGTGTTAGGCCATCAACAGCCAATGTAAAACTTTGTTGAATCTATTATGAACATGGACAATAAACGTTATAATGTTAATGCTAGGTCGTTGCCCGTAAGTAACGCGCTGCATGGCTCGAGTACAGTGCCGCTGCATCGGTGCCCGGATGTAGTGTTAAATGACCAAGGGCTACCGCGTCATTCTGGACGCACGCGGCTAAAGAAGTTAGTCCATAAGAGCAAAATTAGATTTGGTCCTTGGAATGTTGGGACATTAAATTGTAAATCTGTAGAGGTTGTAGGGGTTATGATTCAAAGGAAAATCAATATCCTTTGCCTGCAAGAAACAAAATGGCGTGGAGAAGAAGTTAAGGATATTCAAGGTTTCAAACTTTGGCATACAGGAAAAGTAAGTGCACGCAATGGAGTAGGCATCATTATAGATAAGGAGTGGAAGAAGAACGTTGTAGAAGTTAGCAGAATTGGAGACAGAATTATTTCCTTAAAAATGATAATTGGACGTGAGACTGTTAATATTGTTAGCGCTTATGCGCCGCAAGTCGGGACAGAAGCCAGTCTTAGGGTCTGTTTGGTTCGAGGGGAGGAGAGGGGAGCTCCCCCCCTTGGAGGGGAAGCTTTGGAGGGGAGGGGAGGGAAAATTTTAAAAATTTCCCCTCCCCTCCTCCTAACCAAAGGAGGGGAGGGGAAGGGAGGGGCTCCCCTCCTTCTAACCAAATGAGGGGAGGGAAGAGGAGCCCCTCCCCTCCCCTCCCCTCCCCCCCAACCAAACGGGGCCTTAAGGAATTATTTTGGGAGGATCTGGAGGGGTTGATTCGACATATACCACAGAGTGAAAAGATTTTTATTGGAGGAGACTTTAATGGGCATGTTGGGAGGGAAGCTGGTCAGTATGCGAGGGTGCATGGTGGTTTTGGTTTTGGAGAGCTAAACAATGAAGGACAAACTCTTCTTAATTTCTCATTGGCGTATGATTTTAAGATTGCCAACACTTGTTTCAAGAAGAGAGATGAGCATCTCATCACTTACAAAAATAGAGCTTTAAGGTCACAAATTGATTTTCTTTTAGTTAGGAACACAGATAGAAGACTTTGTAAAAATTGTAAGGTAATCCCCGGAGATGTTGTAACGACACAACATAGGGTCCTAGTCCTTGATGTGTGTATTATGAGTAAAATCCAAAAACGTCGACAAGTAGTAACACCAAGGATTAGGTGGTGGCAATTAAAAGGTGAGAAGCAAGATATTTTCAAGCGAAATCTTTTGGATAAAGGAATTTGGGAATCTCAGGGAAGTGCTAACATCATATGGGAGGATATGGCTAAAAAGATACGGGAGGTTGCAAAAGTAGTTTTGGGAGAATCGAAAGGTTCTGGTCCGAGAGATAAGGAGTCTTAGTGGTGAAATAATAGTGTACAAGACAAAATCAAGTATAAGAAGAACTGTTTTAAAGCCATACATTTGTGTAACAATGAGGAAAATTGGGAAAGGTACCGTATGGCTAAGAAGGAAACTAAAAGAGCTGTGGGTGAAGCTCGTTCTAAAGCTTTTGAAGAATTTTATAAGAACCTTGAGACGAAGGAAAGAGAGCAAAATATTTATAAGATTGCCAAGAGTAGGGAAAGAAAATCAAGAAATCTAGAACAGGTAAGGTGTATTAAGGATGAAGAGGGAAGAATTTTAGTTACAGATGATGAAATTAAAAATAGATGGGAGACTTACTTTTTTAAACTTTTCAATGATGAGAGGATTCATCTAGTAACTTGGAGGATTTAGTAACTGGTGAAGGAGAACAAAATTTGTCATTCTATCGAATAATACGTGATAAGGAGGTAAAGGAAGCTCTTAAGAAAATGGCAAATGGTAGAGCCAACGGACCTGATTGTATATCTATCGAAGCGTGGAAATGTTTAGGTGAAGAAGGGGTGAGATGGTTAACTAAGTTATTTAATGTGATTTTACGGTCCAAGAAAATGCTTGATGAATGGAGGAGAAGTGCATTAATTCCTATTTATAAAAATAAAAGAGATATTCAGAATTGTACTAACTATAGAGGGATTAAACTCATGAGCCACACAATGAAATTGTGGGAGAAAGTAATTGAGCACAAGTTGAGATTGGAAACAAGTATTTTTGAGAATCAATTTGGTTTTATGCCAGGTAGATCAACTATAGAGGCGATTTATCTACTAAGGGGATTAATGAAAAAGTATCGTTGTAAAGATAAAGATCTACACATGGTTTTTATTGATTTGGAAAAAGCTTATGACCGTATACCAAGAGAAGTGCTTTGGAAAGCGTTGGAAAAAAAGGGAGTACGGATTGCTTATATTAAAGCCATACAACATATGTATGAGGGGGTAAAAACTAATATAAGAACACCTAGTGGTCAAACAAAGGATTTTCCTATAAAAATTGGACTACATCAGGGATCATCTCTGAGTCCTTATTTGTTCAACTTGATTTTAAATGTTTTGACAGAACATATTCAAGAGGAAATCCCGAAATGTATGCTCTTCGCAGATGATATAGTTCTTATAGCAGAGACAAGAGAAGAGGTTAATTGTAAACTTGAGTTATGGAGGAGGACATTGGAGTCGAAAGGTTTTCGTCTGAGTAGAAGTAAGACGAAATATTTATATTGTAAATTTGGTAAAGGAATATTCGACAATAATTTGAAAGTGAAATTGGGAGATCAAATTATACCTCAAATGGAAAAGTTTAGATATTTGGGAGCCATTATTCAAAATGATGGCGAAATCAGTGAAGATATTTCACATAGAATTCAAGCTGGGTGGTTTAATTGGAGAAAAGCTAAAGGAGTTATTTGTGACTGTAAGGTGCCTAATAAACTTAAAGGAAAGTTTTATCGCACTGCTATCAGACCGGCAATGTTATATAGTAGTGAATGCTGGGCTCTAACGGGACAGCAAGAGCATAAAGTTGGAGTAGCAGAGATGAGAATGTTACGATGGATGTGCGGACATACACGTAAAGATAAAATTCGAAATGAGCACGTACGCGAAAAAGTGAGGGTGGCACCTATTGAGGAAAATATGGTAGAAAATCGGTTGAGATGGTTTGGGCATGTACAAAGAAGACCAAGGGAAGCACCAGTGAGAAGAGTGGAACATATAACTTTGAGTCCGATTAAGAGAGGTAGAGGAAGGCCTAAGAGAACACTCTTGGAAGTTGTTGAACGCGATCTCTTAATTAATAATATTCCTAAAAGCTTGATAAATGATAGAGCACAATGACGTCTTGCAATCCATGTAGCCGACCCCACCTAGTGGGATAAAGGCTTGTTGTTGTTGTCGTTGTTGTTTAGTATTGTTCTCACAAACCCCTTGACAGCCCCTTGACCAGAAGCTCAGGGACAAAATCTCATGCTTTTGGTCCCTCTCCATATTCCTTAGAAGCTAAAGTAACTCCACTTCAAATAACCAATAAGCCCCTTCAAAGTTGGCCAACATGAACCCCATGACACAACATTGGCCATCTAAGTAACTTTTAATACTGTAACCATCCAAGAAACCATTGTTTAACTGTCAGACATGTAGATATACCACAACTTTACACATGGCTTCGGCAATATTGTACTTGGTGGTCATATTACAGACTAGCCAACATACAACAACAAGAAGAAGAAGCCTTGTCTCATTAAATAGGGTTGGCTATATAGATTGGAGGACAACTATCCAACATACAATATTAGATAAATAAAATATGAAACACTGGATGGAACATCCAGTTATAATATTTATCAACATTGTAAAAAGGTACCTCTACCAGCCAACTCAAAATGGAATAGAAAAGTGCAAATTGTTGAGGAATAACAGTAACAGATAAATAGCAAAAGAAAGAAGAGAAGATATGTTCCTCTAGCACTGAAGAACTTCCATTTCCCCATCAACCAACAAAAAACTCAGCTTAACGAGCATCTCACTTGGTGGAATTTGTAGGAAATCACAATACTATTATGTCAGAAACATTGAAAGTTCTATTATAAATCAAAATCACAGTAGTTTCTCACCACTTTCATATCTAACTATATATTCATCAACATCAACTCCTGGGAGAGTGAAGCCCGCCCTCGTCAAAAGATTCCCTGCATCTCGTACCTAATCAAACAGTCAATCAGGTATAGCCTTTTATTCAAAAAATTTCTGATAACACCCAGAAAAACAACACAAGTAAATGTAGAAAAGAAGATAGAAACTTGTAAAGAGAAAATGAGTGCAAATATCTTAAACACGCATAATTCCAATAATCAGTCCATATAAAATTGCTATTCACCCAATATACCAAATGATTACTTCAATCAACATCTCATCCGGTTACATAATTGTTATTCTAAACTTTTTAACATATAAAATATATATAAATAAATAAAATTACAAAAGTTAGAGAAATAATCCTCAACAAATCATGTGACAATCCCGCTAACTTAATTAACTTCCCATCTAATGACAGCCCATGAACTTCCAGTCTAAAACAGGCCACAAATAGACCCCCTTCCCACAACTAACAGTAACATCTTCTTACTGTCTTCCCAGTTATGATCTCATCTCAATGTCTCGCCCTAAAAGCTCACCTTTCCCACAATACAAAGCATAAGAAATCACCAATCTCGGTGCAATGAGAAGTCACTTGCGAGTGGTGCTAAGACCTTAGATCATGAGATCTAGGTTGGGTTAGAAGTGAATGGCGTGAAGATGGACTTGGAAAGATGGTAACAATATAGTCTATTTGAATATAAATTCATTGGCATGGAAAATATTTGCATGAACGCCCAAATGTAGTCAAGTTGGTGAAATTTTAGACAAATTTTTAATTGAGTGGAAAGGCATAACTATCAGTATATGCAAGAGTCACATTGTTTGTATCGTTTTACTAAAAGAGATACTCATTGTTAAACTGTCGTTCGCATGAAAAGCTCTAGCAATAAAGTACATACCTGTGCCAAAGGTGATACTCGGGGACTAATCCCTCCTTCGCGCTCCATTTGTGCCACTGTGCAAGCTATTCTGAGCTCCCTGTTGACATGTAGAATCAAGTAAAAATATCTCGTAAGTTGCTCCAAGCAATGTGACAAAGAAATTTCCAGAATGAAGAGTAAGATAGTCACTTAAGGGTTTCTCCACCAAGTATAGCAGCTAAAAAAAGACCATCAGGTTTCAAAGCCAATTTACACTGCCAAACAGAAAATGCTATCATAGTCAACATAATAATAAATCTTCATAATGCTTAAAGAATATAATCCAACTTTATTAGCAAAAACCTCACTAGTGTGGCATGGCTATTAGACATTCAAATATAAGCCAAATCAATCAACATGTAAAGTCAAGACCCGTACATATGAGAGGATACCTGTATCATTGCTCCATGTAAATCATTAGTCCAGTGTAGCCCCAAGCAACTAATGACCAAATCCATGGAGCTGCACAGCGATAAATACAAACATTTAAAGCCCAAACTAAGTCTACAAGAAGTTTACAATTAAAGATGATCACACATGCACCTTTCTTTGATAGGCAAAAATTCTTCATCACCAACCACAAATGTTGTCTCAATATTATCATTGGGTGAAGCTGCCTCAGCATTTTTACAAAGTTCTACCATTTCACTAGATGCATCCATCATAATGAGCTTTTCAATGGAACCTACATTAATGAAACCATTATAATACCACAACCCCCCCACCCTAACAAACCAGTTTGAAACCAAACTGAACAACGAACTTTCCAGTTAGTGGGAAACAGCTATAGAGCCTAGTCATTCATCAAGCTTTTGGCAACTAGTATACTTGTCACAATATCAAAGAATGCTTGAAAAGTATAGGGATGACACCAATATAGGGATAACACTTTAAAATGAAGCACCATGCTCAAATGTTATATGATGTATCTTATACTAAATGCAATAGCATAGACAATCCTGTAAGAATCACAAACACTGCCCCTTTTTCTAATGAAATATGTTCCAATTAATTAAAAAAAGAGGGAAAAGAGGAGTGTTTTTGATACGGAAATAATAAAAATATGTGTTATTTAGATAGTTATTGACTGTTAAGGGTACTTAGGTCATTTAGCTGTCTTTTAATAATTTTACTCAGCATTCCTATAAATATTAGGATGCCTTCTCATTTGTAAATAGCCTATCGACATCATGGAAGTCTATTGATCAGAATCTGTCTCTCTACTCTCTCTCTCTCTCTGGTTCTCTCTATCTCTTCTGTTCTTCCTCATTCTTTCCCAATTCTGCCTACTTCTCTATCTCTATTCTACTTTCTTCTCTATTTCCCATAACAGTTTTACAGCATCCAAAGCAAACAGAATGGTGATTAATAGAACATGCTACATTTAAGAGTGAATATAAACCTACCAATACATCCTTGATCTTCAGTTATCGTGTTGGTTTAACCACAGGAATAGAAAATAAGTTCTCTTCTATAAGAAAAAACTCTGATTATTTACAAGTGAAGGGAGGAGCCGCTATTTACAGGATCAAGGCTGAAACTCTTCAGTTCCAAAGCTTGACTCTTTTAACTCAAGTTTAAAAGATAACATCTTTTCCTAGCTCCTCAATTAGAACTATATTATCCACAAATAACGTGCACGTAGGGACTTCCTCTTGAATGTGTTCAATTAAAACATCTATCTCCTAATGGAGACCAATCCCCATAGAGAAACGTTTTGTCTAACCTCCAAGCGTTCTCACGCTGATTCTTACCCACTCATACATGTCATTTATTGCTCTAATATAAGCAACACATTTACCTTTCTTTTCCAAGGCTTTCCATGGAACTTCTCTTGGGTCTTCATCACATCATAAAATGCAACATCAAATGAATTTTTTCTTTGAAGTATTTAAGTAAAATAAATTATTATATTTTAAGAGACAAACCCCAGTTTTCTCTCCCTCAACAACATGCATGAATGTAGCCTACGTTTTCACTTTGTTCTTACCACGGCCACGAAGCAAGCGCCTGATAGCTTCTAGTGAACCTCCCAAGCACAACGCTTTGGGAAAAGCCTTCTTACAATCCTAAAGATTAAAAAGAGCCTACATAAGCACAAAAGAAGCAATTTTTTGAACCATATTCCACAGTGAATGTATCATAATGGCAAATGCTTATTTCAATACAAGATGATGTTTCCACCTGCAATAGAAGGAACAATCAATATTACACTACAATTCAGACCTCTGCAGCAGGTAGGAATTTAAATTGAAAGCATGGATGAAAGTAGAACAATGAAAGACTAACAGGTTGTTCTGAAACTTTTACTGTCTGGGATAATCCAAACAAAATCCATACTTAATGCTTCAAGTGTCAATCCAAAAAATAATAAACCTACATGTTCCAATGTATAAAGCTTTTTTGAAAAGAAACAATAGGAACATCCTGCTCAATACGACTCGATTAAGCCTCCACTTTAGATTTTTAGTGTACAAGATAGTTGCATTTTAAAAATTCAAAACTTTGAAAAGAATGCTGGTCAAATTCAAAATTTCCAATCATGTTGAGATTAATATTTGAAAAAAAAAATATTATACTACTAACTTATTTATCAATATTTAATAATTTCCAAATTAATAGAAACTAAATAAAAAACAGCTACAGGGAGAATACAAGCGGCAGAACCCTTAAAGAAAACATAACGAACCAGGAAAATAAATAAATTAAGGGGAATGAAATGGAAATTACCTCTAAGCGGTCCAGTAGATTTTCAGCTACGGTATCGACTAAAGAATCCTTTGGGCGCACCAACCAAGCAGCTCTGTCTCGCTGCATAGGAGAACCAATTATAGCTATTTTTAAAGTAAGAACTGCTCTAGAATACTGAGTCATTCTTTTCACAGAAAGTCTAAGGCACGTACGCATCCAAATTATTGAAAGAAAAACCTGTTTACGCTTAAGTTGCCGGTCAAAGATCTTGACCTTGGAACTCTGAATCGCATCGCCATTGTCCGAGCAGAACGGAGCGAAGTAGAAAGTACCAAATGGCCCATTCCTCCTACTCCAAAACAAGGAATTTCTGCGGAAGAAGGACGACACTCTCATTTTCAACTTCGCTTATGCGGATGCTCAATCGATTTTGTTGCTGCGATGCGAAGACTGAATGTTGAAGAGAAGGTCGGTAATGTGTTTCTGCCATGAATCTGAAGTTTTTCAATATTTAATTGAAATGAAATCAGATTGTAAATCTGATTGGAAACGGAAGCATAATATTTCAAGGATTTGAGTAACCAAAATCTGATTTTGAATGGAAGAATTAAAAATAATAAATTCGGCTTCTGACAAAAAATGTGTAAAGAAAATCTGACTTTGAATGATAGTCGTTAATCAAAAGCAATCCTCGATGGATATATATAGGAAAGGTAAAATCCGCATTGGTTCAGCGGTGGGCAGAACAAAAATCAGAGATAAGCCATGAAAAAACTTGAAGTGAAGCGATAAAATCAATTTCATCAATAGCTACCAAAGCATTAAACACAATAGAAGATTAAACATCTAAGATGCGCCAAAAGAAAGGGGAAAACAGAAACAAGTCCCAGAAAGCCACTGCAGACATCGAAAGCCGAATAAAAATAAGAAAAAAAAATTAAGACATTAAAAGTGCTCGGAAATTATAGAAATAGCAAGAAGTACGAGCATCAAAACAGGCTCGAGAAAATTAGCATTGCAAATTGAAATTCCCAAAGTAAGATGAAATCGGACTAAGAACTCAATCACTGTTTCCAAAGCTCTTTACCTGTCGCAAGCGTCCGAAGTCGAAGCACACTGCACAATCGTCCAACAGACACACCCTTCTACCACCTGGGGCTACCATATATCGATCACCGGCGCTCAATCGCCGTTAACATACCTTCCCCCTCACCATCGTGTTTGTCGGCCGAGGAAGGAGGCATTAATTCGATGGGTCCATAGCACCGGGTGCTCAGCAAGAAACGCACCGCTTTGGGAAAGTACCGAGGATTCTTAGCCGGTCAATTTGAAATAATCCCTGCCGTTTCTCTCTCTTTTGGTACGAAAGAAGGGAAAAGTTCCCTAAAACTCATTGGAAAAAATGACAATTTGGGACTTGATAATTGAAAATCTCACATTATTAAAATACCATGAAAAATTATAGTTTTTATTTGTAATTAAAAATAAATACTTATTAAAATAACAAATGAAACATGACTGATAAATTTAAGTAAAAGTAATTATGAATTTAAGTAATGTTAGTTGTGAGTCAATGAAAAATTAATTGTGAATGGATAAATATTTTATAAATTTATATTTCCACTCAATCTTATACTCTTCCTTCTTTTGAGTTTCAACAGTTCTAGTGTTATGCCTATGGAGAAAGTGCACTTACCACAACACATGAGTTTAGGTATCATGTAAAAAAAAAAAAATCACTTATAATAGTAGTTCTCTATGCTATAAAGTCAATTTGTGGTGGTTAGATCTCTAAAACTCCTTGGATGCGTTTCTTTTTCTTCCATTTGTGCTTCACACTTTTCTTATTTATGATAGTTAAAATATTTTTGACTAGCTTTTTCATTGCAACCAAAGTCATACTTGATGTTCAAATACCAGGGTTGAATGGCTTAAATAGAAAGTGCAATAGCAACAACATGAAGACAATACTTAGGAGACCATATACATTCATGTTTTGTTTCTTTTTTGTGAAAATGGATTAATTCCACAAACAATTTTGAGCATTTTTAAAATTAACCACTCATAATTATCTCTTTATAATATGTCCTTCTCAAATTAACCTCTTTGTATTTTGTTTGTGGTTCATTTGAAATCTAAGACTTATGCAACCACTTTTGTTATTTTGATGTTTAAGATGTCAATGAATTGCACCTATGCAAA